GCGTGGCTTGCTTACATTATTTGTGAGGCTGTGGCTCATTGGTGAGATACTGCAGTTTTGTTGTGGTTTCATAATCATGTCTCTGTCCAACACAATACACGTCTCAAATGGAAATATCTCATGAGAAATGCTTGCTATGTCATGTTCAAACGGAATGTGCAGCCACGCCCACCCCATCTCAGGGATATGGAGTAGTTGGCGTACAGAATGACCCTTTTCAGATTCCTTACCTGTCATTTCGACGAAGATTTCATTGTTCAGGGTTTCCCCCAGTTCACTCTGCCAACTCTATCGCCAATCAGTGGGAGCGTCCTTGGCTCACAGTTGACTACTCCGCTTCCAGCACCAATACCAGCACCAACAAACGGTCAACAATCGCTGTTACCATTGGAGAGTAATCAGGTACATTGCGATTTTGAACAATTCTCTGGAATTCATGCATGGATATTTCTCAGTTTCGATTTCCATTCAACACTTCTTTGAGGGTGCAGTTTGCTTTGGGAGGGGCCACTATCCAGCAGGCTAAGTCACCCCATATCTGCTCGTCTTCATCCTCTTGCCGAAACAGCGCGGCACACTCTCACTGCACCCTTCGCCTGAACTGCTAGAGGTGGCTTTCCTATGACCTCTTTGCGCCTCGCTGGACAATGGTCCCCCCAAAGGCACATAGCGCGTCGTTTAGCTATCATTTACTTCCAAGCTACTAAAGCTCAATGCTACAGTAAACTCTCTATGTTGCAGTACAACACTGGACAGCAACAGCAGTTCATACCACAGCAACAGCAACCGCAGCAACCGCAACCACAGCAACCGCAACCGCAACAACAAATATACCAAGGAGGTCCTCCCCCACAGCCGCAGCCAAGTCAAGGTAAACCCAGAGGAATTTCTGAATTCTTTGCGAACGTATAGCTGTCCATCTCAGAAATTGCACCGACTGCTCCTCAATACGGCAGTGAGACGATACCTGTAGATGCCACGACTGGAGCAACTACAATACCCCACGAGAGGTAAGAACACCTCATTGCCGTCCTTCGAAGGCAGCGGACACGATTGCTGGGGGCGGGCGATTGTCGTCAACGTCATTGGTGGAAGGACTGCGTGGGGTGTGGCCAAACGCCCTCCCACAGCACTTTGACCATTGAGGCTGACAACAACCGCCCGCCTCCAGCAATCGATGCCCATTGGCTTTAGCTGAACTATTCATACATGGAACGACTTCTTGTCTGACTAAAGTATCCGCGCTGCAACCGCGCGGGACTTCAGCCGCGTCTCGACTGCGAGCTCCTAAAAAATTCACTGCGGGGATTTTTTTCATGCATATGTTTTTAGGTACGTTGTGGAAGATTTACCAGAAGACCCTCCTGAGGATGAACTTAGCAGTGAAACACTACCTTCGCTCTATGAGAACCAGCCAAATAGTAAGTCAGCTAAAGTTCTTCATTGTTCGGAAAATACTAAAATTCTACATGAATTTTTTTCCGATGGTTACCGGCAACCGCTTCGGCGAGTTCACGCGCGGCTCCAAACGCCAAGCCAGAGCTCTTCACCGACAAATGTAACGACGAACGCTTGAAAAAGATCATTGAAGCGGTAAGGGAGTTTGAACACTTATTAGCTGTAAGTCCACACCTCTTGCCAGCGTCTAGCACTTAGTCCACATTTAGCCCTCTCTGTGGGCGATTCCACCAGCAAGAGGGTTGTAGCAGTCAGAAGGCCCAAATGACGTTAAGACAGTTCGACAGGATCAGAATCCTCCCATATCAAACAAGCTTTTCATATTTTTGAAGCCAGTTTTATTTACACGCCTTACTTCCCTAATGCAGCACACTGCAGAGACGAGATCCCTGCTAAAACGTTTCATAGTCTGGGAGAGAACTTAACTCAGCCCGCATACAAGACCCAATCCACGAAGCCAATGAAGACGAGTGATGCTGCAACGAGGAAGGTGGCTGACTCCGACGGTACCATCTGATGGACTGTGCTACTTGAGTTCGACCAAGTTTTTCGTGCTTCCGAAAGAGTAACTTGATTGCTCAAAACAAAACCAACTCGAACACGCGATTCCTATCCAATAGTAAAGCCACAGGCGAGGCAGGTATTTAGAGACTTGTACAATGGATCTCAGCTTCATGGCCTCTGAAAGGCACATTCCACTCAGCAGAGTGACTTGCAAACCGGAAAGTAGTGAAGCAGTGAAAGGCCGCCACCCTCCCCTTCGACGGATGCGCCTATTCGCCTTTTGCGATTATAGGAGGAAATGCTCTTCGAGAAGGATGTCAGATTACCCACCCACACGGCATGTATTCTTTTCGTGATGTCTTACGCGTTCTCCCGGTTTCTAATTATGATTTAAATTGGGCTTATGGTGTCGGAATGGGGCAAACCCTTGGCCATATGGAGTCTGATGGTTGGTTGTGGTAAATGTCCCATATTTCTGCTGGAGCTACAGTGGCAGAGAATGGAAAAGCAAAATAGCAAACTTACAGCCATAATCCCTACCAACCAAGGGTTTTGAACAGCGCGTACTGTTGCGCAGCCAGGGCGCCCCTCCTCCACCAGTGTGCCATCCTGAGTCCGATACAGATGGGAAATCTGATTTGGTTGTGCTCCAGGCCACACATCCGTCACGCACCTTATCTTTGACGGGGATCATGACTGTATCTTCATGCTAGGAGGTGGTCTCCTACAGTACTGAGAATTCTCGATCTGAACCTAAATAATAAGTAGTATTTCACTGTAGTTTCAACCACATCCACCAATTTTGATCATTCGCTGAGTAATTGTGCTGCTACAGTACCTTAATAGTTCAGCTAGATCCGTAAGACGAGTTCTTCAGAATATCGACTCCAACCCCTCAACGTCGAAACGTAAAATTCAAAAAGCAGCCAGTGATGAGATCGGTGGTCTCTTTGATGTGATCTGTTCAAGCCATGACTTCAGTTATCTGGCCAACACACAAGTGAGCGACTCAGTCTGCCCCAATCTTTTGGGCGCTACCAGCTAACACGGTAATCTTTTTCAGGTATTCTGTGAAGCCGGAAATGACGACGTGACCTGTTTCGCATTCCTTCACACGTTGATCCAATAGGAACGGCCTCGTCCTAGCGACATCCCAACGAGTCAGATCTATTTGTGCAATAAATTATATTTATCAAACTTCGTTTCAACTCCTCTTACACTCAGCAAGTTTTCAGCAGGGAACTGTCGCTTAACTGCAAAAGAACGCGCTATCTACAGTACACGGGTAGGAGGAAAATGGTACGATTGACCTCGTTAGTGACTTTTCGCACCTATGATTCGAGGCATAATTAACGAGTTTCGAAGGGACCTCATTTAGCCGAGGCAGCAGCCGCCGCGCTAACTGCGGTTGGCCTCGGTTAGAGAAGAAGTTATCGAGCTATCCAAATCGGCACAAATCCATTGAAAAGTCTCGGTAAAATGGGTAAAATAGAAACAAAGAAAAACAAACATTGGGGAAAGGAATACACTCCAAAGCACAGATGAGGGTTAAAGGGTAAAAAAACCTAGGGTAAAAGGTTGCTATATATTTCAGCTATTTATCTGGATACTCCTTGCTGATAAAGCTCGTTGAAAAATAATAATAGTCTCGTTAAGGGGTGAACGAAGAAAGTGATTTGAAAAGGGTCCTACCGCGCCATTTCCTCAGATATTTTATCTTTCCTCTACATGTACTCTTTTCGTGATGTCTTAGCGTTCTCCGGTTTCTAAATTATGATTTAAATTATGAATCAGGGAGAAATGGGGGCAGGATTACGGTAACAAGTCGAGCAGTACTTTTATTTAGCGTCCAGGTGCTATGTGAATTTCATATGTCTGTGAAAATGTGGAAATGCGAAATAACTGAACATACGGGCCAAAAAAAACGCTGCACGAAATGTTCTAAATCGTTTCAAATTCTTCGTGATAAATCTTCCACTCTCCGTCCTCCTTCTTCCAAATATGGTTACATTTGCCCTTGAAGGCGCTTCCTTTTTCCGGACGCACCTCAAAGTCGCACTGAGCCATCAAATAGTCATCCGTACCCTGGTAGGTTTCATTGCTTGTCTGAAATAAAAATTGCTTTGCAAGCCAATTTTTCGTGCACTTCTAATTCCATAAGTATTCAAAGAAAATAAAAGTCCGAAATTCGAAGTTATGGAAACTCTAGAAAGAAGTCTACCACTGACCAAAAATTCGTGCGGACCGACCTTCTCCCAGAACTCGTTGTACATTTTAATAATCTCTGCAATGAAAGGCATATTACCAAAGATAGAGAGCACAGTAATACGGTAAATGATGACATGACGATTATAAGTAACCAATATATAGTAATCGCGCCTAACCTTCTCTCCCGAAAGTGGCTTTCTTGCCCTTTTCCACGATGACTCCTTGGCTATGATAAAACTTGGCAGCGGCCTCACTGTCACCAGTTTTGTCGTACTCTGCGAACTTTGCGTACAGTGGTTTCAGTATTGCCTCAACATCTGAAAAGCAGCATTCCTGACAGAATCTATGAAGCCTTTGTGGGAATGAAAGTACTCGAATGGCCGGAGCTTGCATAGGGGGCTAAAAAATAAAAGAGGCCTAAGAAGATACCTACTGAACTAACTTACCCTTTGGCTGCATCCTGAGTAATCAGCGGGCTGACAGTGTGAGCGAAGCAATTTGAAATGGAACTTTGATTGATTCGCTCCAACACGGAACGCAGGGGCAACGCACGTATTAACATCATTGATTCATGGTGTGATTTTTCACTCAAAGTGATCAGCGCGGGCTACTCCTAAGTACTCACGCTCGATTACACTCCACTCCATATCCTGAAAATAGATAGGGTGTCTCTGCGTGCTTCATCTTATTGTGGCGTGGCATGCCTTTTTCGTAGAACTTTGCATTCGGGACAACCGTCATCCTGTTTTTCGATAGACAAATACAGTACCAAAGTGGGTTTGAAGTTGTTCGTTTGCCTCCGGCCGATTCAATCACTCGAGATGCACCCGAAGGGTGAGGTAGTTTTGCTTAGGATATCTTCTTATATAAGTTCATGTGAATCAAAATGTTGTTCCTTAGCTTAGCAGCTCCTTCGTCAATTTAAAAACAACAGCCATGACCCTTACTTGCACAACATCCAGACACTTTACTAGCACGCACTCTCCTATTGCGTTAGGAGAAAAGTTTGCAAGAACTACCATTTCGCCCTCTGAATTCCCCCCCCCCCCTCTGGTACGACTCTTCCCCTTCCTACTTCTCTCTTCCTGAATTTTACAAGCATTCTAGAAATTTGAACAGTCAGGTCAGCAGTAGGAAGCATTTTTCACGAAGGCAAATGCGACCCTCCCCTACCCTTCAGCAATCAAATATGACCCCTCTCGCTGGGGATCACCAACGTACGACCTGCCCTCATTAGTGACAAGAAAGGTGAGTTAGGCGTAAGAGTTAAGCGATCACAGCTCATGTTTGGTCAAGTTACGCTGTCTGATATACGAGTTGTTGATTTTATTCTCCCACATGGAACGCACCCAACCCACAGGTCTCCCTTGATAGGTATGGTACTTGGTCTGGCATAACAGCGGGCTCACCCTTGGATCGCGCAAATGATACACGAGGCTTCGAAGTGGTCATCATCTTCAACTCATAGATGAGCAGCGATGAGATTAGGTGACTTTTTTCTCCACCGCGGACGTTGGTTAATTTGACATTTTTGATGTGCTGGTAGGGTATTACACAGCGGGGGATTCGAGGGTCAGAATTAAGGCTAATGCCGTTTGGACTCCAGCAATTTCGGCACCGAGCTCATTTTTAAATTGCCTAAGTCACCAAATCCGCTAAAAACTTGTATATAGGGGTAGTTTCAACATCCTGATTACGAATATGACATTCATTCTTGCCGCTGGCGCTAATGGATGACACTACGATTATCTGCGCTCTGCTAAGGCTGAGCCCAGGAGGTAATCGTAGTGTCATCCCTTGGCGCCAGCGCCAAGAATGAGTGTCATAATTGTAATCACGATGTTAAATAACCCTTGTGTACATATTTTCAGCGGGTTTGGTGACTTAGGCAATTTAAAAATGAGCTCGGTGCCGAAATTGCTGGAGTCCAAACGGCATTAGCCGAATTAAGGAGGTCGACGTCGTGGCACTCCTGGCTAGATGACTTGGAACAGCACTTTCGAGTCGAACAAGTGAGTTCCTTACAGCTCACATCCCATGGCGTTTATTCCGCTGAAGAAATTAGGCAATCAATAAATTTCCTTTTATATTCCTTACTCTGAGTATCCCTGAATAAATTAAAGTCAACTTACGGTTAAACGCGCAATTGCAACTCATTTGTGTCAAAAACCTATGTGTGAAATGTAATGTGGGCTACAATTCACAAACTTGTTCATGTTTTTCGTCAGAAAAGTGAAGTAGGGGCGGGGTTCCCAGGTGGTCCCTACTAAGCGCAAGTGACCAGTCGCTGCTTTGTTGGCCATCGTCTTGCTCGTTAAGAATGCTCTCCCGTTGCTGTTGTCTGGTGGCTTGCCCGGAATCTCATCGAGTCTTCCTTTCAACTCAGGACAAGGGCAGCCTTATATGTGGGGGGACACCATCACAGGCACTTCTGTTTTTCAACCGCCGGTACCTTCGACGTCTCCGTCGACCTAGGGCGTAATGCACCTTTTAATCCACTGGGTAATTAAACTGATAGTAGCAGTGACAGTAGTACTCAAAACAAAACGTTATAGTGATATCTGAAAGTGGAAATAGTAGGAACTAGGTAAGTTATTATGGAATTAAGAACATTTTCCAGCTAAAGCCATGAAATGAACGGTATAGGACATAGGCTGCCTTGACCGAATTGATCTGATGGAAGAGCGCTATATTGAGCCAACTGGACAGAAATACTGGATTCGTGCGGTGCTACAATTTAGTTCTTCTAGTCTACACGCGCGATTTGAGGAGCGCAGTGCGCTGAAATTTGGGTCTCCTTGAGAGCGCTGAGCTTAGACCAGCTCCGACATTTGAGTGCTATCGGCTAATTTCAGTGCTAGGAAGCCTCCATAGATCCTATCAGGGATGCTGCTTTTCAGATGTTGAGGAAATACTGAAGTCACTGTAGGCAAAGTTCGGAGAGTACGACAAAACTGGTGACAGTGAGGCCGCTGCCAAGTTTTATCATAACCAAGGAGCCATCGT